TTGTTCCCTGGACTCTCACTCCATCTCCATCACCCATTCAGGAGTTTATCCACTCACCCACCCTCCGAGACACCAACCCAGGCCCACTCGATGACACATAGTGAGCATGTGCACTGGGCTGGGGGTGAGTGGGGAAGGGACAAAGAACAAGAGTACATCATATGGCAAGGGAAGAGTAAAAGGATTGGGAAAAGACATTGGTCCTGTCAGGTCAAGAGGGGTTGGAGCTATGAGAGAGTGGGTTTGGGGATATGAGAGAGTAGCAGAGAATGTTCCAGGAAGGAACAGTTACTTTATGTTGGGAGAAATGGTGTAAACCTTCCCCAGGCCCTCCCCTACGGGCCCCTTCAAACTGGCCAGACTTGAGGGCTAGGGGTGCCCAAGACTCAAAGCACACAACAAAGCTGTTCAATGTCGTTCTCTCCAGGGAAAAGGGGAGATCCATTCAATAGTTCTCCCATGATGCATGCCACGGCCCTGTGAACACACAATCCCAAATAGTTCATAGATGCCACACCACAGAACACAGACCTGCTTTCACACTAACTAGCTCAAAGACCTAATACCCTGGGTTGAGACCCCTACAAACCAGTCCTGAGGCTTTAGATCCCAGGATGCTGTTGTTAAGTGCCGTTGAGTCGACTTGAACTCATAGCGACCCTGTATACGGTTTCCAAGCAGCAGCTGGTGGGTTTGAACCACCAACCTTGTGACTAGCAGTCCAGTGTTTATCCTGTAGCACTACACCAGGCCTCCAAGGATACAGACCTCTTAATAGATCAAAGACCTCATTCCTAGAACACAAGTCATGTCCTCCTCCCCAAAACAGCTCTGAGACCTCAACTCAAAAATGCATAGCAACCCCTAACAGTTCTAAGGCTTTTCAAACCCTCACACTCTGGGACACACAGATTCCCTTTACATTCTTGGATAGACCTCCACAACAACTCAAAGTTTTACACCCTTGGGCACAAACTATCCCCCCAAAAAGGTTCAGAGACTTCACTCCCAGAGACACAGGCCTCAGGTTAGGTCAGAGACATCACATTCTGGGATGCAACAACATCCCGCTCTACCCCTTATCCTTGCATATCACCTTAGACACACCACACCTTCTAGAGCCTCAGATTAGCTCCCCATCCCAACTAAACAACTTCATACCTGAGATGACCATTCCAGATCCCACTTCTGAACCTCCACCCAGATACCTCTACTAAGAAAGAGACACCCCAAGCCAACCTAATATTCATACCACGGAAAAGACCAAACAAAACTGTGAGACCTCAAAGCCTAGGAGACAAAACGTTGAGTCCACAGTGCCCACCCCCAACAGGAGTCTCACCAAAGGTTGACACCCTGATCATACTGCCGGGCACCATACAGGAGCTCAGGGGCTCGGTACCATCTGTAAAGGAGAGGACAGTAGTTACTGCTAAGCCTGGTCTGACAGGAGACTGCCCTGAAAGATCCCATGGAGCCCCCACACCAACACCACAAACAATACCCGGCAGAAGGTTCATTATTATCATTTCTCGGGGGAAGAGGATTGCCAGATCTCGCCCAAGAATTGGTCCTTCCTACCTGGTGGCCACCTGGTGGGTATAGAGGCAGCTGCCATCTGGGGAAAAGACACATGCCAGGCCAAAGTCCGCTATCTTGAGCTGGCCTGAGGTGCTGATAAGCAGGTTGGCTGGTTTCAGGTCCTGAGGACAACAAAGGAAGCATCAATTCCTCCAGAGCCCCCATGTGATGGGGGACATGAAGGATTGGCAGGCTAGACACCCACGTCACACGTGAGCACAGGTCTATATATGTTTCCCAACTCCACCATGGCCACCACCCTCACTTCTTACTTATAGGTTCTGTTTAGCCTCTAACCATGCCTTTTTAATGGGCTAGACTCACCCCCTATCCACCCCAAGTTGTCCCTTGAGAGCCCCAACCCCACTCCATCCCTGCATTCCTGGACTCACTCGATGAACAATGTTGTTGGCGTGGCAGAAGGCAACACCCTTGAGCAGCATCTGAAGATAGCTCTTGATCTGGGCCTGGGCCAGTGTCCTCTGTGCATGGCGCACCACCTCAGCTAGATCGGACAGCATGAACTCAAAGGCCAGCACGAAGCCAGCACCATGCGGGAACACAGCCTTCAGCTGCACCACCTATGGGGCCAATGGGGCAGGGCATCTGTCAGCCCAGTAGGAAAGGGGCAGTCCCAAACCCTCTCTGAGAATTCGCTGGGACCTTCAGCCCTTGTCATGATGTCATGAGAACTAATCTCGGAACCTGAGAGTTCTTCCCTCCAGGAAAATGGAGGTCTAAATAGGTTTGGTCCTTCAATATAAGGCATCTGCTGGAAAATCATCTACATACAGACAAATACACAAACACACACCAGCACAGGTTTCCTCCTGGTTTCTCTGTAACAATTAAATTCCAGCACCAAGGAGGGGCAATTTTCCCAGTGCTTGGATGGCTAGAAACATCACAAATACTCACTGAAGGCCAAACACTGTCAGATGTAATGGGACCTGCTCAATGCAGAATGCCAAGTAGACAAGGAGCAGCAGGCTATTAAGGACCAAGAGAGACAGAAACTGACAGATACAGAAACAAATGAAGTGGATATTTTCAGGTCCTTGTAAGGAGTCCTGGTGTTGCACTGTAGGAAAAGCACTTGAATGCTAACCACAATATTGGCATTTCAAATCCACCAGCAGCTCCACAGAAACTCTTTACAGGGTTGCTGTAAACAACTGCACTTCACAAGGATAGAAATAGGAAAGGGTAGTATGATTTTTGATTGAGTGGAGAAAGGGATACTTAAATGGAGTGGGGCCAAGGAGAGCTTCTTTGAAGAGTCAACAGGAGGAGCTACTTATGCAGAGATCTGGGTAGGGGGAAAGCAAGTATACTGTACAATGGCAGGAACAAAAAGGAG